TAGCTCGACGGCGGTGACAGCGGCGGCAATCCACCTGTCACTCAAGTGGCCACGCCCTTAATTATGCAGAACTTTAAGGCTTAATATAATTTATAGAGAGGAGTTATAAAAAAATTCACCCACCTCACAGTTGTCATGAAGGGCAAAACCCCTTTTTGTACCAGGCTTTAAACATATTTTTCTGCTGTAAAGTTGGGCATTTTAACATGGGGGGGTCTATGGGACTGACTCCCTTTTGGAACCAGCCTCTAGCAGCCAGTCGATGAAATGCCGTTTAAGTCACTTCCGTGTTGGATTCCAGAGAGAGAGAGCGGAAGGTTGCCGCTTGACATTAAAGTATTTAACGCAATTAAAGCAGTGGCGGAGCTAGGGTTGGCCACCCCACTCACAACTGCAGTCAGATGAAATGTTGTCAGGCCATATGTCAGTAAAAATAATTTTTCCTGTCCTGTCAGCTGGTATACTGTGCTCGTAGCATGTGCTCTTCAATTGCACGCACAAATACAGCGTTGCACACTATATATCATTTCATATCAAAGCGCAAACGAAACGTGCATGCATTATTGTAGTTATGACGTCAGTTAAGTCATGAAGTTACCAAAAAGGCGATTAAAGCTGCCTTAAAACTGTGCAAGCAAGTATATGTTATATATGGCGAAGTCGTGGGCTAATGCTTAGAGAGTCGGACTCGTAACCCAAAGGTTTTGGGATTGTAGGTGGGGGGAGTGAATGTACAGCTTCCACCTTCAGTACCACGACTGAGGTGCCCTTGAGCAAGGCACCAAACCCCCCACTGCTTTCATGCCTCTGAAGTGGTTTTCCAAACTGTCCTGGAGCAGCAGCACTGTCTCCCTCATCTAACACACTCGATTCAACTCCTCAGCGCATTAGTAGAGACTTTAAGAGCTGCAGTGGGTCAGAAACGGTAAAGAGTTATGAGAAACTATGATGCGTGTCAGATCCACGTCACGTTCAGCAGCGGCAGCTCTTAAAGCAGCCAAAATAACCTCATAACCAGCTGCTGTGATGCTGTTCATCAAAGAACAAAGGAAAAAAGAGCAAATCAATCACTTCTGTAGCTTTAAGGATTCATCTATATTTAATTTAGAATTTAGTGTTTGATAACTTTATTCAATTTCTGTATATTTCCTACTTGCTGAAGGACACAGGTAGCTAAATATGTTCCCTTAAATTATAATTTGTTATTTTTTAGTCTAATAAATATTCAAATTGACAGCTCTCAATTATACTGTAATGTTGAATGGCTAGTCAATGATTAAATATTAGGGAGAAAAAAATGTATTTCATAGAGACATCAGTATCAGTGATACTCGCCTTCAGTCATAAAAAAGATGCCACTAAAGAAATATTAAGAATATACTGTCTTTATGTTGTTTCTACATTCATTTTTAGATTGAATGTGAAATCATTGCAATATAAAAGTATATTAAAAAATATATATATTTTAGGTGGGATTAATCACGATTAATCGTGATTAATTTCAGAAACAAATGTGCAATTAATTTGTTAATTTTTTAATCGATTGACAGCACTAGTTAATATATTTAATGTCATATAATTGCATTGTTTTTCTCTGACCTAAAAACAACATGTGTTCATAATGAATTTGTAATATAATTCATATATTTATCATAATGCTCTTCTCTAGAGAGATTTTTCTAGCTATGGAGTTTGTTCCCTGAATGTCTTTCCTGCGGTGAATGTGACATTATTGATCTCAAGCTGTTTTACTGACGTCTTTCGGCGGTTGAAGCACTGATTGATGGATTCCATGATTCATGATTGATTTCAGTAAGTTGTTCTGTTTTTTCTGATGTTCATTTGCTGCTGTAACTAGTAGTAAAGAGGAAGAGATGATCGCTTCACTCCAGCCATCTGTCACCACACATTTAAGAGCCTCAAAAACACATTTAGTGACTGCATTTTGTTATAAAAAGGGCTTAGAATTTGAAAGTGGATAATTGATTCATATTACAAGTAACAAAACAGAAGGCAGGAGTTACAAATAATGTTTTGTGAAGTTTACACAGCAACAGTACGTGAGTGAGTGTGCATGTGTGTGTGTGTGTGTGTGTGTGTGTGTGTGAGAGAGAGAGAGAGAGAGAGAGAGAGAGAGTGTGTGTGTGAGTGTGTGTGTGTGAGAGAGAGAGTGTGTGTGTGTGTGTGTGTGTGTGAGAGAGAGAGAGAGAGAGAGAGAGAGAGAGTGTGTGTGTGAGTGTGTGTGTGTGAGAGAGAGAGTGTGTGTGTGTGTGTGTGTGTGTGAGAGAGAGAGAGAGAGAGAGAGAGAGAGAGTGTGTGTGTGAGTGTGTGTGTGTGAGAGAGAGAGTGTGTGTGTGTGTGTGTGTGTGTGAGAGAGAGAGAGAGAGAGAGAGAGAGAGAGTGTGTGTGTGAGTGTGTGTGTGTGAGAGAGAGAGTGTGTGTGTGTGTGTGTGTGTGTGAGAGAGAGAGAGAGAGAGAGAGAGAGAGAGTGTGTGTGTGAGTGTGTGTGTGTGAGAGAGAGAGTGTGTGTGTGTGTGTGTGTGTGTGAGAGAGAGAGAGAGAGAGAGAGAGAGAGAGTGTGTGTGTGAGTGTGTGTGTGTGAGAGAGAGAGTGTGTGTGTGTGTGTGTGTGTGTGAGAGAGAGAGAGAGAGAGAGAGAGAGAGAGTGTGTGTGTGTGTGTGTGTGTGTGAGAGAGAGTGAGAGAGTGAGAGAGAGAGAGTGTGTGTGTGTGTGTGTGTGTGTAGTGCGTGTGTAGTATGTGTAGTGAGTGTGTAACAGATTGTGGTGTCCTGACAGCAGGAATCTTTGGCACAGAGCTCTGTGTAATTGACTGAGCATAACTCATAACTCAACTCTCATTCAGCCGTCTCTCTCTCTCTCTCTCTCTCTCTCTCTCTGTGATGATCAGCAGACAGCAGGAACAACAAGCAGGACAAAGGAAGGACGAACAGAAGGAGAGACGCAAAGAGATGCAGACAGAGAGAGCGTGAGAGAGAGAGAGGATGTCGTCTGTACGAGAAGTCAAGGCATTAGAACAGAGAGAACGAGATAGAGCAAGAGCGAGAGAGAAGGAGTCAGGAGGAGCCCTAAATATGCGTCCTAGTTCTGTGCTGTTTAAAGGGGAGCACACATGATACAGTCACTATCTAAACCAGGCCACAGAGAGAGAGAGAGATGGAGAAACAGGTGAGACTCTACTTCTCACACTGTTGAAGGTCAGGCACTAAAGGTCGTCCTGTCTGACCTCTGACCCCTCAGGCTCTCGATCTACTGTCAGTTCAGAAGACCAGCAGCACATCACAGACATCAGATAATGTTCATTACAAGTAGGGGTTCAACCAGTCACATGACCATTTTTCTGCTTTCCATGTATTACTAAAAGAACACTTGAAGTACTGTTTCAATGCCACAGCAAAACTACTAGCCTAACTAATACAATTCAAACATGATTAAAAACATACAAGTGAACAGTAATAAAATAAGAACAAATGAACTAATTACATGCACAGATAAACACAACAGAACAACTTTAGAACGCTTTGAGTGCGAAAGCAGCGTGCGAGAACTGAATAAAGTTCTCTTTCACCTCTTCTTGCGTTTTAATGACTTAAAGTTGCTTGAATGTTTAAACTGGCAAAACTTGAAACACGTGCATCACTCTACGATGGATAAACTTTGCAGCTAATCCAGGAATCACGTGCGTGTCGAACCGTGGGGCCTGGTTTAACCCCTTATCACAAGAAGAACCTACACAGAGACTCACCTTCACTAGCTTTACCATCAATTTTATCTGGATTTATGCAGTCCATCTCTCTAGATGGGGCGGTTCTAGGATTTGATCCTCAGAGAGACCATTAGTCACAAAGACACAAATTACCTAAATGAACTTTACAGTGCCTGTGAAAACTGTATTTACTTAAGACGTTACCGACTGTGTTTACGTGGATACTTGTCAAGACAGTCATTCTGACATCATTTTGTGTGTATTTGCGCAAGAAGACACAAAAGAGAACTCACTTCGGTACTCATGTGCTGTCCAAACAACACAACCAGACAAGCATAAACCAGTGCAAGACAACATAAGACAGCCTAAACCAACACAAACCAGACTAAACCAACACAAACCAGCATAAACCAGTACCAACCAGCATAAACCAACATAAGACAGCATAAGGCAACATAAACCAGCCTAAACCAGCACAAACCAGCATAAACCAGTACCAACCAGCATAAACCAGTACAAGACAACATAAGACAGCATAAGTCAACATAAACCAGCCTAAAACAACACAAACCAGTATAAACCAGTACAAACCAGCTTAAACCAGCCTGGACCTCTCCGTACAGAGAATCATAAAGTGCATAAAGTGACGGTTCACCCAAAAAATGTCTCATTCCTCACGTCACTCCAAACCTGAATGAGTTTAAAGAAGATATTTTGAAGAACATTGGGGTTCAAAGAACACTGGACTCCACTGACTCCCGTTACACTGAGACATTCCTCAAAATATCTGCTGCTGTTCCACTGAAGAACGTAAGTCAAACTGGTCTGAGCGAGGAAATGATGACAGAACAATCATGCTATGGGTGAACTATTCCTTTAATCAATATTGATCTGTCTTCTGTCCAGCTGCTTTACAGCTGAAATTAAAGTTGTTTAATAATTGATGAATTTTGCAACCTTAATACTAACATTTTCTGTATGTGTATCCCTAGAGAAAATAACATATTGGTCAAGACTTAAAATGAACACATTTTGTAGTATTAAAAAGTCTGCGACTGGAGCCGCTCAACCCTCTCAATTCTTCTTTTTATTGTTGTTAAACGATTCTCTACTTTTAGATTTATATTGCGCTTTTTCCCATTCGGTCTCTTTCCTTTGTCATGTGATTCTTTTAAATGTCTTCTGTGCCGTTTGTGCGTTGCATCTTTGTTTTTCTTTGTGTTTTTCTGAATAACAAAAAGCAAAATAAAAAAACTGTATTGTATGAAGTGCTAGTTAACACGCGTGACCTGACTAGCACTGAACTTAGCGTCCAGTTCCTCTGTAAAGCTCATGGCTTGACATTGTGAAGGTTGCGCGTGGTTAGCGCTAGGCAGGACGCGTGGGCCGAGCAGCGGTTCTTCATCTTCATCTTCATTGGCATGTTTAGCGGAGAGAGAGAGACGAGTGCGGTGTGATTTTGCAGCGTTTAGAGCTCGTGGGCGCAGCTCTGACTCACAGCCATCCATCATTTTCTCTCAGTGTCTGACGCTTCCAGCGGCTCATCATCATCCTTACACACACACACATACATAGTTTCCCATCATGCATCTCTGCAGAATGCACCTTACCTTAGCGGCCATGATCATGGAGGAGCCTCCCTTCACACCCAGGATGGGGATGTGCGTCTGCGCGGAGATGAAGTCCAGGATCTGTGCGATGGCCTCCTGGTCGGTGTCGTCTCCGAACACCACGCCCTGCAGCCAGTGCTCCGTCATCAGGTCGCAGATGCTCTTGATGATGCTCTTGGGGTCCGTCTCGTTCATGGTGAGCATCTCCACGTTGGGCGCCAGCGGCATGTGGCCAAAGTCGTCTTTGTCACGTGTGCCGGCGAGCGCCACCTCACTGGAGTTTCCCACCAGCACCACCGCGATGCTCAGGCCCTGCACCAGCTTGGAGATGGGCGGATACTGCGCCACCGATGATGGGATGTAGTGGGCCACGCCGCCTCCACCCCGCTCACGCCGTGATTGGACGGCCAGCGGTGGCAGCAGCAGCAGCAGACACACGGCCAACAGCTGCTGCAGCGACGGGCAGGGCCAGTGACGCGGGGGCGGAGCCAGCACATGAAGCCACGCCCGTCTTGCCTGAGAGGGTGGAGCTAAGCCGCGGTAAATGCAGACGGACATGATGGAGGAGCGAAAAACCTGCGAGATAAACAGACAGACAGAGATTACAGCACATCCGTTCCTGAGCAAGTGTCCTAAATGCAGATATTTGCAAAAAGATGACCTCACCATTGTTTTTATATTTCCTAAAGTGGGAGGATCTTTCTGACATGTCATTCGTTAAACAGTATTGTGAAAGGAAATCAGTAAACGAGCACCTGGAATTCTGAACTTCACAATATTGCACAGCATGTGCTAATGATCAGAGGGTTTCAGAGGAGAACCGGCGAGAAACGCTTGTGTGGACCATTAAATTCGAGCAGTTTTACAGCATTCATTTGACAGACTGATATTAATATCTTCCACTTCAAAAGATGTTGCAAATACTGAGTGTTTCTGGGCCAAAGAGTGTTCCTGTCAAAACTGAACATCACAGACCAAAAACTCACACTGAACGTCACGAGAGAGACAAAGAGAGATGCAATGACCAAAACACGATTATCCCAAAATTAACTAAATATTTACAGAATTTAAAAATCACACCACAACCTAAAGACTTCACAGTGAAAATAAATAAATAAATAAATAACTAAGAAAGAACAAATAAGGCTACAAGATTCGTAGCGATCTGACAACCACTAATCAATATTCAATAAATGCATTTATTAAAAAAATTCAACAACCCAACATTTACACATGAATGTATTCAAATATAGCCAAATGATACACTTCATTAGTAAAATGTATTAGATTAATTCTGCATCATAATCAATCATATGTGTTGTAATGTTTATGATACTGAAAAAACATGAACTACATTTAAATTTTTCTATTATATATTTTTTATTTATAAAAATCATGAAGAATAAATGCCCTCTAAATAGATCAGAAATTTGGGGGAAAACACTGCACATAAATGAAAAACTGCAATGTTTCCACACTGGAGGGGATCCAAAAACTGGAGGAGTTTCGTTCTTCACTGGAACAGCAAGAATGAAAAAGGATTTGAAAAAAGAACAACAACCGAGATGAAACGACAGTAAAAGACAATTCAAAGCAACAAATCGAAGCCTTTAACCTGCCCTTGGACAGAGGTCAGCAGATAAGAGCCCTAAACACCTGAAGTCTCTTCATAAGCGAGAGAGACTGACATTCACTGATGGTTTGAGACGCGTCCGGTTAGCGGCGGTGTCTGTGACACACATGAATAGTGCAGCAGCAGACGACCGTGCTCATGCTCAGCAGATCAATATTTGATGGGAGCGTCGCACGTCTTCAGCCTGTTTATTATGGATGAGATAAACTCTCCTCTGACGATTAGAGAGAGCGGCACCTACACACTGTACAACCGCACAGAGCCGCGTTACACAAGCACTGTAATGATCACCACTGACGGACAGACGGACTGTGATTATAGAGCGATGAAGTGCTTAGACTCAGACAACATTTACTCTCACTCGTCTCACTCACATACATGACTGACTTTCTTCAGTTAAACACAAAATGTCTGTGATTTTGTCCATGTAATGGCAGTCAATGGGGTCCAATGTTGTTTCAACACAAATGTTCTTCGATATGTCTTCTTTTGGGTTCTACAATTCTTACAGTCTGAGTCTCTAGTACTGAGACTGCTCTCATTAGAGTTACAAATGACCTGCTCTTATCATCTGATCGTGGTTGTATCTCTCTATTAGTGCTACTGGATCTTAGCACTGCGTTCGACACTATTGACCACAACATTCTTTTGAATAGACTAGAAAACTTTGTTGGCATTAGTGGAAGTGCATTAGCATGGTTCAAATCCTACTTATCTGACCGTCATCAATTCATAGCAGTGAATGAAGAGGTATCATATCGATCACAAGTGCCGTATGGAGTACCTCAAGGCTCAGTACTAGGGCCATTACTCTTCACGCTTTACATGTTACTCTTGGGAAATATCATCAGAAAACCCGGTGTTTGCTTTCACTGTTATGCTGATGATACTCAGCTCTATATTTCTTCACGGCCCGGTGAAACATACCAATTTGAAAAACTAACGAAATGCATAGTCGATATAAAAAACTGGATGATGAGTAATTTCTTACTACTAAATTCTGAAAAAACAGAGGTGTTAATTATAAGACCGAAAACCTCTGTATGTAATAACCTAGAACACTGTCTAACACTTGATGGCTGCTCTGTCAGTTCCTCGTCATCAGTTAGGAACCTAGGTGCGCTATCTGACAGCAATCTTTCCTTCGAAAGCCACATTTCTAGCATTTGTAAAACTGCATTTTTCCATCTCAAAAATATATCTAAATTACGATCTATGCTCTCAATGTCAAATGCAGAAATGTTAATTCATGCGTTTGCTGGTTCGTCTGGTCAGAGGAGAACTGGCCCCCGACTGAGCCTGGTTTCTCCCAAGGTTTTTTCTCCATTCTGTCACCGATGGAGTTTTGGATCCTCTGGCTTGCTTAGTTGGGGACACTTAATTTCCAGTGATATCGTCGACTTGATTGCAGAGATAATATTTAAACTGAACTGAGTTGGATGATGACATCACTGAATTCAATGATGAACTGTCTTTAACTGCAAATTGAGTGTTTACTATTGTCCTTTTGCATTAATGACACACCTATTTAATACTTATTAATACTATCTAATACAATAAAAGTTGCTTTGATATAATCTATATAAATAAAGGAGACTTGACAGTCATACAGGTTTGGATGGAAATTAGGGAAAGTAAATGATTTTTGGGTTGATTAACCCTTTAAATGAGGAGGTTATTCTGTCCTGAATGCTGCTGCGCTTCAGAGACGGATGTGACGGAGCTACAGAAAGCACACGATGGAGGAGAGGAAAGCGTTTGTGATGCAGAGACTGACACACAGTTCAGAGATCTGAATCTGCACATCTCTAGGCCACTCTGTTTCCATAGCAACCATTAAAATAGACCTCTCGATACAGTTGATGGCCTCACACACACACTCAGGCTCCGCCCCTCTGCAGAAGCCACTCACATCACTGTAATTAGCATAAGAGAGTCCTGTTTATGAGATGAGACACATGCATGCACACACATTCACACCGCACTGTAATCAGTGAAATGAGATTGATTGAGGCTTTTCGCAGATTACAGCTTCAGCTCACTTGGCTATTTCAGGAGCACATTACATGGATGAGGACCGTGTGTGTGTGTGTGTGTGTGTGTGTGTTCGGACAGGACAGCGAGATTCAGAGCGACTCACTGTTTACGTCTGTAACCACATACCGAATTATCTGGAAAATAATTAGCAATGGGTAAAAATTACATTTTATTATTATCGCATTTTATTATTACATTCAGAAATAATGTAAAATATCGGCAAAGCAAAACAAAACATTTTCAAACATCATAAACACTATAAACATATTTTAGTTCCTATAACTCCACAACAAATCCTTTAAATGTAAATATTCAGAACAGACCAGGTATTAAATTTATATTTACATTTAAATGTATATGTATAAAACTAAAATAAATTATACTGCCATTATTATAAACATTTATTTAAAGTGAAACTGAAACTACTGGTTTGTGGGAAATGTGCTTTACAAATAAACTTGAAGCTCATGTTCCTCTCTCATTCAACACAAGAACAAATGTTTTGTGCGTTTGACTGCATTATATAAGCTGCTTTGGAATGGAAGTCTCTGCATGTTTCAGATAATAAAAAATGTGACTTAAATATGGAAATATGTTAGATGGATGTAATAAAATGATGGACGATGGAAAAGAAGCTGTGGTCACTACTACCAGTCAACGCTTCCTCCTGTTGGCTCAGGCCAGTAAATGAGTGAGGAAGTTACTCTGCAGACCCTCGATCATCTCCGTTCCTCTCTGCTGACCTCCACCTGAACCGCTGAGAACATCACAACCTTCAAGAAGCAGCTGAGCAGACACACTGCTCCCGTAAGCACTTAGACACCAACACCCTGAACCGATACACTGACATACCGAACAAAAAACTCTTCTCTCGACCACGAATGACAACAAACCACAAAGACACGACAGCAGACAAAAACACGCATGAGCCTTACAGGAACCAGAATGAACATGTGTTCTCATGATGTTTCTAACACATGCGAGACTCTTTCATCTCTGGAACACAGAAGCAGGAACAGTGTGACGTTCTGACACTCTCATGATGCTTCTGCGATCCTGCTGAAGCTTCACTGTTCTGAGATGAAGAGTTTCGACCAGGATGTTCATTTAGTCGCACAGGCTGGGACTGAGATGAAGACTAAATGATGACAAGATTTTAAACTATTCATGAGAAACAATCTCTGGAGCAGAACACACTGCTGCAAACGTCTACTGAACAGAAGAACTGAGAGTCCATTGATATCATCTTAACAAAAGCATTGAGAAACACACACACACACATTCAGACTAAAGCGGTGCAGGTGTGAGGTGTGTCACATGACAATGATTTATTCATCAATCAGTCAGTCTGCACACGTGCGGCCGCTGCGTGATCATGAGTGCCAACACATGATGATCTCAAATGAATCTGATCTAATTACACCATCAGAAATGAAAATAAACCACAACACTCCATCACACACACAGATCGATGGGTTAGTAAACAGATAACATATTAACAGCCGCCCATCTGCCCAAACACCGTCTGCTGATGGATGTGTGTGTGTGTGTGATTGTGTGATTGTGATTAATGGAGTGATGCTAGTAACATGCGGACAGTCGAGCTGAAGTTACACACAATCACTTATTTCAGCTAGTCCTGCTGAAGCTTTTCTCTCTCCAGCCATAAAACTGCTTAATTCACTTAATTAGCTAAATTAAATAAAAAACAAGACCCAAATATTTGAGGAGGCATTAAATAAAACAGGAGAATTAAAGCCTTCTGTAATGTCATCATGACATCTCACAATACGGTAACTACTGATCAAAGCAACACTTCTCCAAATCACCGGACGAGTGATCACAGCAACATCGGCTGATCTAACACCCATCTGTGGATGAGGACGAGTCAAACACCGGCCCAACCAACACCACTGACCCCCAGAACAATGACTAGCATTATAATAATAACCAGAACAATGTCTAGAATTATAATAATAACCAGAACAATGTCTAGAATTATAATAATAACCAGAACAATGTCTAGAATTATAATAATAACCAGAACAATGTCTAGAATTATAATAATAACCAGAACAATGTCTAGAATTATAATAATAACCAGAACAATGTCTAGAATTATAATAATAACCAGAACAATGTCTAGAATTATAATAATAACCAGAACAATGTCTAGAATTATAATAATAACCAGAACAATGACTAGAATTATATCTGTAACCAGAACTGTAAACAAAACCATAATTATAACTATAACAATAACTATAATGAGTACAACAACAATAACGATACAATAACAATAACCATGACATAACCATGTTACATCCATAACAACAACTATAATGATACCCATAACAAAATTGTAACCAAAACTAACTAACTAAATATAAGCATAACTACAATAGCTAATGATAACGATTACGACAATAATTTTAAAGATAACTATAACAATGACTATTACCATAACTGATTATAACTATTACAATAACTATAAGAATTACTAATGACAACTATAATGATTATAACTATAACAACAACAACTACAACAATTACTATAATAACTATAACAATAACTATAACCATAACCAGAACTAATGATAACTATAACAATTACTAATGATAACTATAACGATTATAACAATAACTCTAATGAGATAACTAAAACCATAACTAATGATTACAATAACTATCACTACTAATGATGACTATAACTAATTAGCTATAACTAAAACTAATTACAACTATAACAATACTTAACTATAACTATACTAATTATAATTAATTATAACTACAACTATAAACATGACTAATGACAATTATACTGATAACTATAACAATAACTAATGATAACTAACAATAAGTATAACAATAACAATACTTATATCAATAACCATAAATAATAATAACTATAACAATAACGATAACGATAACTGTAACAATGAAGGATTCTGACTGGCTGTCAATACTTTTATCGTTTATCAGCTGAAAAAAAAAGTTCTGAAAGTGATTCCAACGATATCGTTCCTCTGTGTCGTTATCGTTACAGTTGTGCTGCAGAATTCACAATGCTCTTATTCGCTTATTCTCGATTATAACACTTTCTGGTTATAATGATGTTTACAGTGATCTTTCCTGGTGTGAACGGCTCTGAAGAGCAGAAGTCGTACGTTTAGCAGTGTGACTGTAACGGAGCTCAGTAAAACACGTCCTGAACCAGCACACTGTTCTGGAGCAGGACTAAATGAGGATGGGTTTGGCTGAATGATCCCTTGAAACACACACACAGATACACACACACTTGTGTTTTTCTGTAATGTCATCATGACATCTCACAATACGGTAACTACTGATCAAAGCAACACTTCTCCAAATCACCGGACGAGTGATCACAGCAACATCGGCTGATCTAACACCCATCTGTGGATGAGGACGAGTCAAACACCGGCCCAACCAACACCACTGACCCAAACACCGGCCCAACCAACACCACTGACCCCCAGAACAATGACTAGCATTATAATAATAACCAGAACAATGTCTAGAATTATAATAATAACCAGAACAATGTCTAGAATTATAATAATAACCAGAACAATGACTAGAATTATATCTGTAACCAGAACTGTAAACAAAACCATAATTATAACTATAACAATAACTATAATGAGTACAACAACAATAACGATACAATAACAATAACCATGACATAACCATGTTACATCCATAACAACAACTATAATGATACCCATAACAAAATTGTAACCAAAACTAACTAACTAAATATAAGCATAACTACAATAGCTAATGATAACGATTACGACAATAATTTTAAAGATAACTATAACAATGACTATTACCATAACTGATTATAACTATTACAATAACTATAAGAATTACTAATGACAACTATAATGATTATAACTATAACAACAACAACTACAACAATTACTATAATAACTATAACAATAACTATAACCATAACCAGAACTAATGATAACTATAACAATTACTAATGATAACTATAACGATTATAACAATAACTCTAATGAGATAACTAAAACCATAACTAATGATTACAATAACTATCACTACTAATGATGACTATAACTAATTAGCTATAACTAAAACTAATTACAACTATAACAATACTTAACTATAACTATACTAATTATAATTAATTATAACTACAACTATAAACATGACTAATGACAATTATACTGATAACTATAACAATAACTAATGATAACTAACAATAAGTATAACAATAACAATACTTATATCAATAACCATAAATAATAATAACTATAACAATAACGATAACGATAACTGTAACAATGAAGGATTCTGACTGGCTGTCAATACTTTTATCGTTTATCAGCTGAAAAAAAAAAGTTCTGAAAGTGATTCCAACGATATCGTTCCTCTGTGTCGTTATCGTTACAGTTGTGCTGCAGAATTCACAATGCTCTTATTCGCTTATTCTCGATTATAACACTTTCTGGTTATAATGATGTTTACAGTGATCTTTCCTGGTGTGAACGGCTCTGAAGAGCAGAAGTCGTACGTTTAGCAGTGTGACTGTAACGGAGCTCAGTAAAACACGTCCTGAACCAGCACACTGTTCTGGAGCAGGACTAAATGAGGATGGGTTTGGCTGAATGATCCCTTGAAACACACACACAGATACACACACACTTGTGTTTCTTGATGAGATTTGATTTGTGTGAAACTCTGATGAGAGCAGCAGCTTTATCACAGATTATCACAGATTACCGTGTGTGTGTGTGTGTGTGTGTGTGTTAGGTGTTGCCATCTTTACATCTTTATGTGATCAAACTTCTGACAGTCAAAACTCAGCAGCCGATGGACAATGTGAGAAAAACAGCCTCATAAACACAACGAATAATGAAACTGATGAAAATACTGAAAGAGGTCAACGGCAGGGGTGTGTGTGTGTGTGTGTGTGTGTGTGTCTGTGTCTGTGTCTCACCTTGTGTGTTTTCAGCCGAACTCTCACTCCTCCATCTCAGAAACCACATGATGCTGTAGCGTTCTCATACCCTACTGCACACACACACAAACACATCAGTATTAGTGGAACATATGTGAAATATTCTTTATATATTCAAAATAGAGTGATTGACTAATGCACCTCACAATCAATAAAGCATCTGTGTGTGTGTGTGCATAGCGTGCATCTGTTTCTCTGTGTGTACTGTATCGTGAAATACTTTGACAGCCCACCGATGAGGACATTTCACTGGTCCTCGCTAGTTAAAAAGTCTCACATATCAGCCAGAAGATGTTGTTGATGTAACATTAACCTGATAGAAAATCAATGGAAGTCTATGCAATATCTCATTAAGATAGCCAAACAAACATGAGTGTGCGTGTGTGTGTGTGTGTGTGTGTGTGTGTGTGTATGTATGTTACCTGTTGACACACAGAGCAGTCAGTCTGCAGTATTTCTCTCTGTTCTTGTAATTGTGTGTGTTTGCCCTCTGGAGCTGCTGATCTTCAGCGTCCTGGTTGTCAGACCGTCTGCAGAGAGAAAAGACCTTCATTTTCAGACAGAACTCACACACACACACATACACACACACAGACTCTCTCTCTCTCTCACTCACATACACACTCACACTCACACACACACACACACACACACACACACACACTCTCTCTCTCTCACTCAGACACACACTCACACACACTCATGTTCAAATTCACTGAGAACAAAATCATTTACATAAATGTTCTCTGTTAAATTGTTTTCTCTTTCTATGAGTTTGTGTTTTATCAAAGTTTAGCAGGCAAAAAAGTCGAGAAAAAGAACAAACTATCACACATTTAAGACGTACATGAAAAGAATCGTGTGCAAAAACAGCGTTTGTGATCCATATCAGAAACCACAACAATATTCTGACTACATAAGCACAGTATTAAATATTTGATTATAAACAATGTAATTACAACTCTCTAATCATTTCTAAATTAAGTTAAATTGAAGTAAATTTTTATATTCACAATACAGTTTCAAAGCAGCTGATGTTAATGCTTATAATATCTTAATATCTTCATGCCTTACAGTGGCGTTATCAGATTGGAGCTGGACGATTCTGCAATGACAAATCAAGAAGTTGAGACTTGCTATATTGTATATATCGCTTTATGTGACTTTATGTGTGTGAGTGAGTGAGTGAGTAAGTGAGTGAGTGAGTGAGTGAGTGTGAGTACGTGAGTGTGAGTGTGTGTGTGTGTGTGTGAGTGAGTGAGTGAGTGAGTGAGAGTGTGTGAGTGTGTGTGTGTGTGTGTGAGTGAGTGAGTGAGTGAGTGAGAGTGTGTGAGTGTGTGTGTGTGTGTGTGAGTGAGTGAGTGAGTGAGTGAGAGTGTGTGAGTGTGTGTGTGTGTGTGTGAGTGAGTGAGTGAGTGAGTGAGAGTGTGTGAGTGTGTGTGTGTGTGTGTGAGTGAGTGAGTGAGTGAGTGAGAGTGTGTGAGTGTGTGTGTGTGTGTGTGAGTGAGTGAGTGAGTGAGTGAGAGTGTGTGAGTGTGTGTGTGTGTGTGTGAGTGAGTGAGTGAGTGAGTGAGTGTGAGTATGTGAGTGTGAGTGTGTGTGTGAGTGTGTGTGTGTGTGAGCAAGTATGTGTGTGTGTGTGAGTGAGTGAGTGAGTGAGTGAGTGAGTGTGAGTATGTGAGTGTGAGTGTGTGTGTGAGTGTGTGTGTGTGTGAGCAAGTATGTGTGTGTGAGTGAGTGAGTGAGTGTGAGTGTGTGAGTGTGAGTGTGTGTGTGTGTGTGTGTGTGTGTGTGCATGTATGTGTGTGTGTGTGAGTGAGTGAGTGAGTGAGTGAGAGTGTGTGAGTGTGTGTGTGTGTGTGTGTGTGTGTGTGTGAGCAAGTATGTGTGTGTGAGTGAGTGAGTGAGTGAGTGAGTGAGTGTGAGTACGTGAGTGTGAGTACGTGAGTGTGAGTGTGAATTCGTGTGTTCATATGAAGTCGCTTTCATTCTGTGCTGAATGGGCGAGGCGGTGTGAGGACGCGATGGCTGCACGGAGGTGTTTGTTTGTGTTGGCGTCTCTCAGGTGTCTGGAGTGTCGCTCGCTGCGCGTCTGGCAGGTATAAACAGGTGTGAATGTGACGGTGCAGCCGTTCAGTCTCACATTGCTTCCCCTGAGCGGAGAGACGTTTCTGATCAAACCTGCAGGTTTTAAATCAGACAAAAGCTAAATATCTGTGTGTTTGGTCAAATTCAGGTAAAATGTACTAAGATGCACACAGCAGCTACACTATAAATATTAATACATAATCAAATAAACCACTAGAATGCAATGCAAGGCACTTAGGGTAAATGTCTTCAAAGTAGAAATGGTTTATTAAAGGGGTCATATGATGCTGCTAAAAAGAACATTATTTTGTGTATTTCGTGTAATGAAATGTGTTTATGCGGTTTAAGGTTAAAAAAACACATTATTTTCCACATACTGTACATTATTGTTTCTCCTCTATGCCCCGGCTTTCTGAAACGTGCCGATTGTTACAAAGCTCATCGATCTGAAAAGCGAGGTGTGCTGTGATTGGCCAGCTATCCAGTACGTTGTGATTGGCCGAATACCTCAAGCGTGTGACGGAAATGTTACGCCCCTCACCATACTGTGATGCCCTGTCCGGCCGGAGCGACGAGACAAACACATTAAAACCCATTACAAACGAGGCATTTGTTGCATCCAGTGGGGACATAATTACTGATTATAGTGACTTATACTGTCTTTTTACGCTTTGCATCGTGCCGCGTAAACATAAAACCATGTCTGCATTTGTGATCGGAGAAACAACAAACAACAAGCGCTACTCTACACTGCTCAAAACTCGCGTTTGAATCGTCAGTGGCAAATCCTTTAAATATGAAAATGTACCTTCAGGCTGTGAGTAAGCATTATTTTTTCAGCATCATAGACTGTGGTCAGCATGCACGCCGAAGGGGAAACGGGAACTGAATTCACCGGAACATCGGCGGTTACTCTCCCAGGAAACCGTCCTCGTCCTCCATAAAATGCGCTGCACACATCTGAATATGTGGGTTGAAGTGTTCTGGAACAGTGTTGTAAATACAACTTAACCACTGATTTCTAGTCGTGTCCTCTTTTGGAAGACCAAACAAAGTAGTTTCGCTTTCACAACGAAGCACACAGCGACTTCACGACACGGCGGCGGCAGCAACAATACTACAGCGAGAATAAAAGTTACGCCTTCTTTCTTTGCGTGCACATTTGGGCGGCGTTATGTAAATCTTCCCACATCGTGATGTAGACATGTGGGGGCGTGTTAGAACGAGGCGTTTTAGGAGGGTGTTGGCGAGTCTTAACTTTTATAAAGAATATCTCTTTGGATTTGAGACTTTAGTCTATGTAACTTTAGGGATCTTAACTATTCACGAACATCTTGTAACACTCCAAAGAGAAAGGAACAATTGAAATCGCATCATATGACCCCTTTAAACATTATTTTTTGCTGTTCAGAAATGAACTGAACTGAACAGAACGCAACTAAATTCAACTGAACTGAACTGAATGATGTTAAATATGCTGTATTTGATAGCGTTTATGATCTGTGTGTGTTTCCGTTGAGATGAGGTGCAGCTGTTGACCCTGATCTCCCAAAAATAATGATGTCTGGGTCTGAACACATACACACACACACACACACTCTCTCTCTCTCTCTCTCTCTCTCTCACACACAC